TTTTGTGGGAAAGGGGCCCAGAGGCAAGGCCAATCCGCTTTCCTCAGCAGCGGGATTCCTACTCGGATGTTCAGAGATGGGCAGGACAGATAGAAAGGATCTTCCTAACCACTCCCCTAAACTGCCTTGGGCCTCAGTCTGAGTCCTACCTGACCTTAAACTGCTTGTTTTTGTTTTTTCTAGACAGGGTTTCTCTATGTAACAGTCCTGGCATCCTGGAACTAGCTCTGTAGACCAGGCTTGCCTCGAACTCACGGAGCTCTGCCTGCCTCTGCCTCCCAAGTGCTGGAACTAAAGGTGTGTGCCACCACTGCCCGGCCTAGGCCTACCTAACCTTAAATGCTGTTTCTGTTGACAATGACTGGCCCCCATCCCACCCAGGGTCTCTGTCCCCACCCAGGGAGTATAGACACGGGGTCTCATGGATTAGAACACTTAACTACAGCTGACTTAGTGCCACCGACCACTGAAACTGACCCACACTTCAGCAAGGGCTTCATACCCACAGGCTGGACCCAGGCTGGACCCAGGCTGGACCCAGGCTGGGCTCCCTGGACCCACCCCCCAAATCCAGCCAAACGCTGCTGCACGTCTGTCAGCTGGCTCCAGTGACTCCCCCCCCCCATCACATACTGTGCAAACAGCTGCACACTTGTAGGCTGCTGACCCTGTCCACCCTTCCCCCGCCACAGAGAGGTCACAAGGGAAAGGTTGCAGCTGATCTCCACAGGACTGTTTACACCACAGGCAGCGGAGCAGGTCCACAGGCAGCAGGGAAGCAAACAGCCTTTTTGTAAAAACATCCATTGTACAGACAGACTTAGCAGGAATGGAAAGTGACTCCTGTCTGTGTCTTCGCTGATACAAGGCCATGGAGCTGTTGGCTGAGCAGGGATGGGGAAAGTTGAGTTAGGCTCACGTGTCTCCACCTTGCTCTGCAGAGGCCTGACTGGGTCTCCCATTGAGGTTCCTCGGCAGCCAGGGTACCCTTCCCCACACTGAGATCAACAAAAAGGTGACAGATGGGATAAGGGCTGTGTGAGGCATGCCTGGGGCAAGTGAGAGCCAGTGTGTTGTCAAGGTCAGGAAGGGTCTTCAGTACCTCAGTTACCTGCCCATGGCTCCGAGGCTCTGAGTCCTTCAGCAGGATGAGTGAGGCTTTCGTTGTGTGCAAACTCCTCATAGCATCAAATCCACCACTGTGGCCGGGTGCGCTGCTCAGCATCAAACCCACCAGCGGCCACTGTGGCCGGGTCTGCTGCTCAGCATCAAACCCACCAATGGCCACTGTGGCCAGGTGCACTGCTCCGTGGTAGTGGAACTATTTATTCACACTGCTGTGTGCACACTGCCACCACCTGACTCCAGAACTGTATCTTCTCCAGCTGGTATGATGTGAATGTAGAATGCCCCCCAGTAGGGTCACGTGTTTGCATGTTTGGTCTCCATCTGGTGGCACAGTTTTGGGGAGATGTAGAACCTTTGGAACAGATTGTCCAGCTCCCAGATACAGGTCTCCGGAGCCAGCCTTGAAGACTGTGTATCTCTGATCCTGCCCGGGGCTTCCAGCTTCCTTCCCTGTCAGCTGACACTGTAAAAAGCCGCCACAGTCTGGCCACTATGCTGGGCCGTACCCTCTGAGACCATGAGCCAAATCACTCTACAAGTTGCTTCTGCAGGCATTTTGACACAGCAGCGAGAAGAGCAGTTAACACACCAGAGGGAACTCGGTGGGGGTTTATTATTTATTTGACAGTGAGGAGGCTTGAATTCAGAGCCTCCCACATGGCAGGCAAGGGCTCTGCCTCTAGGTCCACCCTCAGCCATAAAGCTGGGTTCTAAATACTGTCTTGTCCCGCAGGTTTCGGTTGAAAACTCTGCTGAGGCTTCTGGAGGGAAGCAAGGACCCTTATGCTTTCCAACCAAGCAGTGGCCAAGCAGGGCACATCTGGAGATGGGACAGAGGGAGGCCAGGGAAGGGAGGGCACAGAGTCTATAGCATAGTCCTGGCATGGGCTGAGGAGCAGGGAGAGACATACCACAGAGATGAGGAGACATCAGTGTGGGCTTCAAAGGAAAGGTTTTTCCTGTGGTCTGACTAGACCTGATAAACAATGCCTGCGGATCCCTGATCAGCGAGGGGTCTGAGGGATGGTGAAGTCTCAGGGCTGAGGACACAGGAGGTGGCTCTAAAAAGCCCCAGTTTTCCAAACCACGAGTGGAGACAGAAATATGAGAAGCATGCTCGGCACTAAGGGCTCTCATCCTCGGTCCATCGACCCCCTGGACGGACTTCAGATAAACTGCACAGCTGCCCACAGGCTCTGTAGTGGGAAAAGCTTGTTTTTCTTCTTCTTCCTGACCAAAAGCAGATTTGCTGACAGATTAGCGAGCAGGGGGCTGGGGTGACAGGGAGGTCACCCAGGAGTGCAAAGCTGTGTGGAGCCTTGATTCACCCTAATGAGGTGCCTCTGTTCCTGAGGGCGGGGAGGGAGGCCAGTTCAGGAGGGGCCCCTGCGGCTGGCTTAGGCGGCCAGGGCGGTAGCTTCCATTTGGCTCCCAGGAGGAAGCCCTTCCCCCACAAGGGTGGGCTATTATCCCACTGTGCACCTGTGGACACTGAGGCACGGAGCATACGTGAATGAGAGTTTGGAGTCCCTCTGGAAGCCAGCACTTCTCCGTTTCCCTCAAGTACACGGTCACCGACCCACAGGCCATAAAATGCATCATTTCACCTCATCTGGGTACACAGCTCCATGGCAGTAGGTACCTGCATTCTGCCATTCGCCAGCAATACACCATGATCCTCTCCTTGGAGGTCGCTTGGCTTATTTAGTTGTGGGTGGTTTTTGTTTCTTAGCCACGGCCTCCCTCCTGGCTGGCCTGGAACTTGCTATGTAGATCAAGTTAGCCTTGAATGTGCAGTCATCTGCCTGCCTCTGTTTAGGATTATGGGCCTGCATCATCATAATTTGATTTTTGCATTTACATATGTAAGGTGCATATGACAGATAAGATTGCGTTTATTTCACAGAGTAAGGCAGGCCAGCAGAGGCTTTTGGCTATCTCCAAGTTCATGTCAAATACGCCAGTATATGCAAATGTGTGGTTCAGTTAGGGGCAAAGGGTCTGCATCTTGCCTACCGTATAACCTTAAGTAAGTTACTTAACGTGTCCGAATCTAACCACCCTCACATGTCTGGTGGTCATAATAAGCACTGGTGTTATTGTATATATTAAGTAAAGCTGCAGGAATCATATCTACCTCAGAGCCTGGTATAAAATCAGTGCTCAATAAATGCCCACAATAATGCCATCGATAGTGAGCAAAGGACCGTGAGACCCTTAGCCAGGACTCTGCCCTCCTCCAGAGGTGTTGGTGGGGGTGGGCAGTTGTGGCAGGGGAAGCTGGCTTGCAAGGGCAGGGCCCTGACCTCCTCCAGGAAGGCCTTCTGGCAGATGTGCTTGCCATGGAGACAAGCTGGCTGGAGCTCTCTCCTGCAGAGAGGTCCACTGCTGTGACAGAGGGGGGAAAAAAAACACTCAGGCTCAACTCTAAACAAACTCCCCTCCCAAGGGGAAGCAGTGATACCAGAGAAGGAGAAGGTATTTGGCCTGTTGCTTGTTTTCGAGCGTTTCTTCAGGTCCTTGGCCTGAGCCTCCTGGGGATGGAGGGTCTGCTTGGGGACCTGAGCCTCCTGGGGATGGAGGGTCTGCTTGGGAAGGTCCCAGTTCGTTCAGCTTTAGTGGCTTCTCAGTGGTGTGGAGGGGGAGTCGACAAGTCCTTCTGGGGACTCCTAAGGCAGAAGGTGACTCTGTGTTTGTTTCTCTGCCAAGCCCGGAGAGAGCCTAATGATGATCTACCTAGAACGATCCTCTGCTGTCCTGTGGTGACTCAGGGGTCTCCCAGTACATTTCTGGGGGTCACTCATCTTTGGCCCCTGCCCAGCTCCTGGTGACAGCATCATCCTGGGTGAACGGACTGATCTTTAATGGCGTTCTCTTCTCCATTTCTGTCAGTGTAGGGAGATGGAGATGGGGCAGGAGAGGCGAGAGACACTGGGCTGGGAGGGTCTAGGTATGCAGGCAGGGGCAGGGAAATGCCCGGGCCACCATCACGTCTGGAAAATTCCCCTCCAAGGCCTTGCTGTTTTCACTGGGGAGCTAGGTTGAACAATGCTGGCCTCTGAGGGTGTGGACTTTCTTACCGGAAACCCCACTGCCTAGGCGCAGGAGTCTTTCCTGGATAGGTTCCTCTCTCTCTCCACTCCTAGGAATATGCTCTCCAGATTTACGCCCAGCCCCAAGGCGGACCTAAAGTCTTGGAGCGACCCTGTCGACAGGGAAGCCCCGTATATTGGCACCTGGAGCCGCGCGAAGGAGAAGGCGAAGAGATACCTTGCAGAGACAGACGCTGTCTAGTGCCTCTGGACCTTGACATCTTCTTTCTGGTCTCGGTTCTTTGCATTCCGGGGACCTGACTCCTCCTCTTCCACCTGGCCCTGCCCCTCCTCTCACCTGGCCCCTCCCCTCCCTACATCAGCCCCATCTCTCTTCCCTTTGGCCACGCCCACTTTTTCTGGCCCGCCTCTTCTCCCCGCCCAGCCCACCCCTCTTTTCTCCGACCCCGCCCCTCCTTTTCTCCCCTTACCCCCCCCAGTCCTACCCTTCCCCCACCACCACCTGACCCCTCTTCTTCTCCTCGGCCCCGCCTCTACCTCCCTCGCCATCCCCAGGCCTGCCCCTCCTCCTGGCCCCTCACCCCCTTTCCCAGCCCCCCAACTCCCCGCCCCTCCTCTCGGGTGGGGTCCCGAGGCAGGAGAAAAGACTCAGGCTGCGCCCTGCTCTCGGGCGCCCTCTTGTGGCCCTGGGCCTTGAGGCGGCGGCCGCTCTGGCTAGGCTTTGGGAGCGCCGTGGGTTGGCTTCCTCGCTGCTCCACCAGGCTTCCACGGTCCCCCGCCGGGGAGTGACCCAGAAAGCACTCCAAGGCCGGCCAGCACTCGGCTTTTAGGATCTTTATTGCCTCCGTAGGCTGCACGTCCCCAGGTGGGACTAGAAGAAGTTGAGCACCCTGCGGAGCGACTGCACGCGTGCGCTGTGGGCCTCCCAGTCGGAGAAGCTGCGGAAGTCGCCCCTCTCCACCACGTACATGCGGCCGCGGTAGTTGGGCTCCTCGTAGAGGACCCACCTGAAGGCCAGGGGAAGGGCGGGTCAGCGGGCGGGAGCCACGAGGGCAAATCCCCGGCCCCACCCCTCTGTCCTAGCACCTTACTGCCTTGGGCACCAGTGGCTGGATCGGGCTCGGTGCTGGGAGGGGACAAGCAGGGGACTGCCCAGTAACTGACAAGGGCGGCAGTGACTCCAGGACGCACTCGGCCCAGTCGCCCTCCAAAGGGCCATTTGCACACAGTCCCCAGCCCCTGACAGGACTACTGACATAAACTGGAGACCATTCCCACTGTGTATCCACTCAGCCAACAGCCCTGGTGGTCTCTACCTGGGAATAAGTGTAAGGAAGAGTCTCATCAGAGACTGGACCAGCCCTGCCCATCCCACCACCATCCCTGAGACAAGTGTAGAGCTGTGCGTGTGGGACCCAGGAAAAGACGCCCTGTGCACCCTCCCACTTGGGGGTCAGGTTTGGGGACGGGGCTAGGGAGTTTTAGAAAGTTGGGGAGGGACCTCCAGGCCTGGCTGCACCCAGAACTGCAAGTACCATGGGCAAGGGCTGGCTCTGCATTTCACTTCAGTCTTTAGCTCAGACTCACCCTGCCTCCCCTGTCCTTCCCACCCCACCCCACCCCCTGCCCATTCACCACAGTAGAAAACAACTTTCCTCTGGACCACGGTGGTTTTATGAAACAGGACTCCCCTGGGGCCCTCTCAGATCTCTGAGATTCTTGAGATCCAGGTCACAGGGCTACTCTGACCTTTCTTTGTAGGAACCCGTCCCTGCTCCCAAAGCACTCTGCCGGTCAAGGAGTTTTCTTTGCAGGGAACAGACTGGGAATCTATGAGCTCCTTAGCCCAAGGTTCTGCTCACAGATTAACTCAGAGGAGAGAGCCCACTAAAGGCCACGCAGCCCACTTCCCCAGCTCGCCGCTCCCAAGTCACTATAGCCCCCTCCCTTCCTTATCCTGACCTCTCACCTGATAAATTCTAACGGTAGTGATTGGAGGGAGAGAGAGAGAGAGAGAGAGAGAGAGAGAGAGAGAGAGAGAGAGGAGGGAGGTGTGTTGGAGGGCACCTGCTGGACACAAGAGCAGGCCCGGATCACCTGAGCCTCCTTACAACCCACCACATTGCTGGGGTCTCCAAGAGAGTGAGCTAATCCTACCCTGCTCTATAGTGCCCTGAGCCACCTTGGAGTTCTTGTGGACGTCCCAAGAGGAAGAGGGACCTGACTGGGCATGAAGGCTAATCCTCTGGTTCCTCACCTGTAACTCCTGGGGTAAAGCAATGGAGAAAGGGGTCTCTGAAGAGGTGGCTCAGCACTTAAGAGCACTGGCTGTTTATCCAGAGGACCCAGGTTCAATTCTCAGCACCCGCATGGCAGTTCACAACTGTCTGTAACTCCAGGTCCAGGACTCAATGCCCCCTTCAGACCTCTGTGGTCACCAGGCATGCATGTGGCACACACACATGCATGCAGGCAAAATACAGGTATAAAATATTTTTTTTAATTAAAAAAAGGGGAGCGCATGCCAATTCAGCCTGTTAGAATGTCGGGAGAAGGTCCCTGCTTTTTCCGCCCATGCCTTCTAGGGCAGATGCGAGTGCTGGTTCACTCCTAGGCTGGTATGGAACCCAGAAGGAATGCTCTTGGCCTATGGGAGGTGGTGAAGGGGACCTGCTTCACTGCTGCAGATCCCAGAGAGAGCTCAGGGACCCAAGGCATATCACAGAAGAGTTAAGGTCATCGAAGAGAAAAGACAAGCGTACCTTGGACCCCAACACAGAGGCCCACTGCCTTGGCCTCCATCTCCTGACCATTGAGCCTGGTTTCTTCCAGGAAAGTGGAGTTTAAAGATTGTATACCCCAAGGCTGGTGGAGGTGGCGCACGCCTTTAATCCCAGCACTTGGGAGGCAGAGGCAGGATCTCTTGAGTATAAGGTCAAAAGAGGGAGTTCCAGGACAGCCAGGACTACACAGGGAAACCCTGTCCCAAAAAACTTTAAAAAAAAAAAAAAAAAAAAAGCTCCTCCAATCACAATCAGAGTTCTCTCCTGCCTTCCCTCTCCCTCTCCCAAGATCCCCAGGGTTGCTGGCGGATTATGTCTTGGGTCTTAGGACATCTTCCATACCTAAGTATGTGTCTGGCCTCATGAGACACAATTTAGCCTGCAGATTTTCCAAGGCAAGTTGTTTTGGACTCCTACCCCCATATCCTCAGCTTAGGGGGGCCAAGGCCAGGTATTGGGAGAAATAGTAGCTGCAGGTCTGCTCTGAGCACACCTTGTCTCCCTCAGCCCTCCCTTGACCCCTGGAGAGGGGCCCTGGGCCTGAGCCTCAGAAATATAGAAGGCACGTTCCCAGAGGAGCCAAGTTCCGGTTCCAGCCCTGCACAGGGAGGGGAGGCTGGAGCCTGTGGGGCTCTTCTGCTGGGGGGCAGGGTCCCCAGCTCTGGAGTGGAAGGGGTTCCACCGGGCTGCAGTGCCAGCAGGGCCTCTGCCGTGGAAAGGATTAGTTAGCTACAATCTTAGCTTGTGCATCTATAAAATGGTGATGGCGTCTGTAAAATGGCGATGCCGTCTCCAGAGTGGATAGACTCCCAGTGTGATGTGCCTTTGTGTGTACAGTGAACAGGTGCACAGGGAGCTGCCCCACGGGGCAAACACTGCGCCCTGACAGCTCTTTTGGAACGGAGAAGATGGGCAAAAGTTCCTGGTACCCTTGTCCATCCTATGAGAGCTTCTTGAAGCCCAACAAGCTGGTGTGGGTTGTTGGCCACTAGGCAGAGCCATCTTAGGTCTGGGGTCATCTGAGCTGGGCAGATGTACCCTCTCAGAGAAGGTGGGACTGCTGTGTAGCTTTGAACCCCCTGAGTGGGGGTTCTCTGGAGTCCAGTGACTCAAGAAAGCCAGACAGTCTAGACGTTCAGTCCTGTAGCCGAGACGGTCACAGTTTCCTAAATGCTCCTTTCCTTCGGGTGTGGCACACCGGAGGGGAGGTCTCGGGGAGCCTCTGAGGCCCTGACACCTTCCTGAAAGATTCACTGCTTGCCTGGAGCAGGTGAGGCAGATGAAGGCCTGTGGCTCAGGGGCACCATGCCCACCACACCCGATGTCTTCCCACCCCACCACACCTGTCTGGCTGCCCTGGCTGTACTCACGCTCCATCGCCATACACCTTGATGGCGTTGACGCAGCTCTTGGCCCAGCCCCGGCTCTGTAGGAAGGGGCAGTCTTCCACGAACTCCAGGCACTGGCCTGTGAAGTTGCAGCCCTCGAAGATGTCTATGCGGAAATGTTCTCCATGCTCCGGGACCCAGGCAGGTGGGGAAGGAAAAAGGAATACTCCAAGTCTCTCATGGGGAGAAAGGAAACAACTCCTGCGCTAGACTGGGACCCAGTGTGTACTCACCATCCCAACACATACACACACTGGCTTTCTTCCATGAGATGTGGTGGGAGAAAGGGTTCTCCTATCACTTTAAAAACCTAAGCCACTGAACTGGCCCGATCTTCACCTTTTACAACTAAGGACCCAAGGACCGTGAGGGCGACTGTCTAGAGGCCAGCACAGTAAGATCGGAGCTGGGGGGAGACAGGGAGGTCACTGGCTCCTTCCAGGCATTCCACTTGGGGGATTCATGTCCCAGCTTTGGCGTATTCACCCTTGGTTTCAGGCTACAGGCAGGCCTCCAAACGATAATATTTTAGAAGTGTAATAGAACTCTTTATGAAAACAGTAAGCCAAGACATCTAAAACAATGGCTCTCATTTGTTGAAGTCCCTGCTGGTTTCAACATCATAATTCACTAGCACCAGTGCATACATCTTCCTGCGTGATCACCCACCCGGTGTCCAAAGGAGAGCCCCCTCCCTACTGGCCAGGTTCCTATGAAGCCTGGGATGGCTCTAACAAGAACAGCCTTCATAAGATATCTTGTATATTTTTCAAATAAACAGCATTATGCAGGATCGAGAGCCAACTGTTCTAATGCCTCTCTCCAAATGCCCACATCCTGGCAGAGACACTAGGGAAGCATTCTTTCAGTTGAACGTGCCAGAGCCCAGCTGATTCTGGAACTGATGTAGAAAAGAAAAGGGGCCCCATGCAGAGTGGCGCCTCTCCAGACTTCTCAAATGTTGGCCAGAGTCCTGGTGAGGCATCCAGGATGCCCTGGCCGACAGACACTCTGATGAGAGCTGCCCACATCGGTCCCCAGAATCACCTGTTTCCTACCCAAAGGACAGCACTGAGAGCAGATCTCATACCTGTGACCCGAGGAGCACTCACTCCCCAAATCCCACCCTAAGGAGACTGGAGAGAAACGAGACTTTTTCTAGGGGGAGCAATACCCTTCATTTGCTCTCCCTACACACTTCAGGCCACAGTTCTGTGAAGCGACCATCTGTGCAACTCAAGAGCCCTGTCCCCTCAGATTTCTTACTGGGCCTGCTGGCACTTTGGCTGCCATTACTCATTCCAAGTTTGGAACGTTGAGGGCCAGCTTAATGCTCCAAGGTAACCTGCATGGGTAGATGCTCATGCTCAAAGCAGCCTTACCTTGTGTATGTATGTGCTCATGACACAGGAGTACACCCAGGCACATGTGTGAGCATGTGTGTTGGAAGTCAGAGGGCAATTTTGGACATCTTCCCCAACTAGTCTCCACCTCACTAAGAACTTTTGTTTTGTATGTGTACGTGTACACGTGTGTGTGTGGAGACCAGACAATATTGTAGAGTCCATGCTCTGTTCTGTCTTTACATGGGTTTTGGGGACCAAACTCAGGCTTGTACACCTTATCCATTCTGCCCTCCACTTTATTGATTTATTTATTTTTAGAGTGAGCCTCTTACTGAGCCTGAAGTGTCTCAATTTGGCTAGACTAATTGGTCAGCAAACGCTGGGGAGTCTGCTGGCTCCACCTCCCCAGTGCTGGGGTCCCAGGTCCCATTACACCTGGCGTTTTATGGGTTCTGGGGATGCAAAGTCAGGTCCTTGTACTTGTGAGGCAGACACTCTACAAGCTGGGCCATATCCCCAACCTTTCATCTCGCTTTTGATGAGTGCACCCCTAGTCAGTTGACAATCTAAACGTATTTGAAGTTTAGCTACATGCTTGGCTCAGAAATCTGAAAGGATTCCTTGGCAACTCCCAGAGGCTCTTGTGTTCTGTCTCCTATCCCTCTTGGTCCTCACAGCATCTCCTGCTCACGTGAGTGTGGGTCTGGACAGGGTTCTCTCAGTTTTTAAGGTTTTATTGTTGGGAGGTGCCCGTGCTTCTGATCAGATGCCAGGGTGACCTCCCACTGCCTGAGCTGCAAGTTCCCAGCCCCCAGGCAGAGTGACCCACTCACCATGCCCACAGGCCGACAGGAGCCCATGTGGTCATTGTGGCCATTCCAGCGGAAGAATTCAGGGTAGTCACCGTGCTCCAGGATGAACTGCTGGCCTCGGAAGTCAGGGTGATCAAAGCAGACCCAAGCTCCACTCTCCACACGGATGGAGTTCACTCGGTTCATAAAGCCTCGGTCCTGGAAGTTGTCACAGTCCCCAAAGACCTCCAGCTTCCGCCCTGTGAAGTGCTTGCCCTCATAGAGAGTGATCTGGAACAGCCAGGTGAGAGCTCTGGATCAGGGTCCCATCTGACCTACACACATATACTCACTCACACATGCTCACACATGCTCACACGTGGGCATGGCTGTACTAAACATTTGTTTGTTGTTACACTTAACATTCATAATAGCACTAAAGGATATGTCTTTCAAGGCATAAATGTCTTGCAAAAACAGTCATCATAACTTAACATTGATTTTTCAAAAAGCGAAGTTCCTAATACTGAAATTCCAATTATTCAATAACTCTTTGGGTTTAAAGAACCGTGGTCTCAGAAAAAGACTCTGGGTCATGGGCTTCTCGGCATCTGGGCCCCACATCCTCAGTGGAACCCAGACTTCCATCCCTGCTCACTGCGGTAGATGACTGACACTGTTTACTGATGGGCAGAGTGAGTGGTCAAGTAGCCAACAGGCTTATCCAGACATGGCTCCACCAGGCTCTCACCGACACACGCCCCGCTATCTGTGAACAGGGGTGTCCCCTTAGTCTCGGTGCCCACTTGAAATCAGGCTATTTTCAGACTGTCACTGTATTTGTTAAATTCAGCACTTGTTTGTCATTATATATAACACCCACAATAGCATTAAAGAAAACATTTTCTAAAAGCATAAATGTCATGCAGAACAAGTCACCATAACTCGGCATTCATTTTTTTCAGAGAGTAAACTTTATAATCCTGGGACCTCCTTAACTGGAGAAGGGAATCTGTGGAAGCCAGGGCAGGGTTCTTAGGAGAGGGCTAAATGTCACTGATCTCTATGCCTTTTCTCCCACCAATGCCCCACTTTTTTTTTTTTTTTTTTGAGACAGGGTTTTAATTATCCCAGAATAACCTTGAACGTACTATGTAGCTAGGGATGTCCTTAAGCTTCTGATCCTCCTGCCTCCGCTTCCTGAGTGCTGAGAACACAGCCAAGTCCCCCATGCCCGGTTTATGCAGGGTTAGGGATGGAACCCAGGGCTCTGTGCATGTTAGAGAAGCACACTCGCTCAGATCTTCAGCTTTTTCACGGACATGCCTGAGTAATTGACAGGCGTCAGACTTGGAATTGTGTGGACCTCTTGGCAGTTCAGACATAGCCTCGTAGTAATAGACAACCTATTAGTAATACGGACAGGTTGTCATTGTCCCAAACTAAACAGGTGAAGCAGCCTTAGCGTGCATATTCCCTTCCCACCACAGGGAATCCAATCACTCGACAGCTCTTTGGGACTCAAGAACTATGGTCTCAGAGGACTCTGTAGGAATATAGTCGTATCACCCAGAAACTGATCACTCCAGTTTCTCTGTTTGCACCTTTTCCAAAGGATTGTACACTGGCAAGTCCCTGCCCCTTGGAGTTAAGGTGTTTTGTGGGAATGGATGTCTGTGAGCCAGGGTAACACTGATTTGGGGTTTCTTCCTTTCCTGCTCTGCCATGTTGGTGCTGTTTGTTACTGAAGCACACCCCAGTTCATGAGGACAAATCAATGGTGTCCATCAATGATGGGCATCCTGGGAGCCTCTGGAGGCCAAAGGGTTCCTGGATCAGCCAGGACCTGGACACTAGAGGAGGACAAGGGATAGCCACATTGGTGGGTACCCTTCCTGCATAAGGCAGGTCTGGTTAGGGCCTCTGGGATGTTCCGGGAGATCTCAGCACTTCAAGGATTTGGAGGTTCCCTTCAATCTCCACACAGTCTGAGAACCAGCCTCAAATCTAGCGGAGAGAGGCTTCCCCGCCCAGAACTCCCCCAAGTCACGTGGGAAGAGAGATCCGGAGGGGGCAAAGACCACATTTTGGCCACCCTGTAGTGAAGAAAAGACTGCAGGAGATCTTCCGACCATAGGGACCATCAGAGATTCACCACTCCAAGCCAGCTGACCACGCTCCTCCTGACTTGAGCATCTCATAAAGGAGGGATGGGAGAGGGCGACCTTCCTATTCCACGCCCTCGACACGCCCTCAGCCAACAGGGGGAAGTCGCTCCATCTCATTAAGAAATAAAGCCAACTTGGCTTGACTTTGTCAGACCCAAAGAGCATCTGAGATCAGTCTGCACCCACCCCCACGCGCGCGCGCGGGCGGGGGGGGGGGGGGGGGGGGGTCCCCGAGGCCGCTGGCCGCACTCACCTTCCCGGAGCGTTGCGCCATGGTGTGTGGCTGGCCGCCGCGGGACCCGGTATATACTCTGTGGCGCCTGCTGGCTCAGCGCCGCCCGGGACAAAAGATTTGCTTGGCCCGGCACCCGCGCGTTAGTGCTGTCGGGCGTGCTAAGCCGGCGCCATGACCCGCCCGCCGACCCAGTGTCACACACAAACGACCTAGACCTCAGTGCCTCTGGATCCGACCCTCGTGCCCAGCCCACCGCTGCGCCGCTGAGTCAGGGCCTCAGCACCCCGGCTTAGGAGAGTCCCCTCAACCCCTTGTTTTGTCCCCCCACCCCCACCCATCCCGAGCTGCGGCTCAGTGCCCGTGACCTGCAGCGCTTTTCTTACCTGGTTGCAGGCTAATAAGATACTGTCTTTGTCTTTTAAGTTGATTGTTGTTTGTTTTTCTGGATGATGGATGGACTCCTAGCTTCCCAAGCTTACCTGGGAGTGGGTGGGGTGGGCAACAACAGCCGCGTGGACCTCTTTGCCTGGTGCTGGGGTATGGGCTCCCAGACTTTCCCTCCCGCACTTACTTTTTTTTTTTTTTTTTCTCCCCCTGAAGATCCCAGGTGACACCTGCCTTGCAGGTCAAGGATCTGCAATAGGAGACCTACAGTACTTTGCGGGTCAGTACCTGAGCCCTAACTATGGACCACCCTGGATGCCAAGGATCTGTTTACAGAGCGATATACCCACTGATCCCAGGTGTAAGAATTTGCCTGGCCCACAGGTATTTGGAGTCTATTGAAGCCTCAAGAGTAAACACACAAACTG